AGCCACAGCTCAAAGAGGACATGGCCATACCAGAGTGTAGTAAAGCAATGACCTTTTTTTTTTAGCCAAAAGAAGACTTCAAAATGTCATAATCTAGAATATGAAGGGCACAAATGCATTACCTTTAATTAACTCTTACCTAAAGGGGCATTTCATAAACACACCAAATAAATATGTCTAATGCTGCAGTTTATAGTTGATAATCTCCATATTGCTCCATAGTTTTTCTCTCCTGAAGAAACAGTGAATAAATATGTTCTACAGTTCTTATAAGGATGAAAGTCCTTTATAACCTTTCAAGCTTTTTTTGATGATGATTTATTTGTACAAAGCAAGGATTATGAAATATTCTTATAAATCACTCAATATAAAGAAACAAATTTTTTTCCCTACCCTTTTTCTCTTTTCTTCAGCCCAAGCCATTATTTTTACTGATGAAATCAGAGATACCACATGCATATTTCTTCCACTGAGTGAGCTCTACTGGAAAATCCTAGTTGTCCACTGTTAATCAGCACAGATATTTAAAAAAAATTTTTTCTTAGGTTTCTTATACTATGTTTTGTACCTTTGTAAGAAAACATTGACCAAAACAGACAAGCAAATGTGCAAACAATAAATAAAATACTTAATGTCAAAAACAGTTACATTTTCACAAGTGTAAATGTTAGATAATTTTAAATCATATATTAAAAACACATTTATCATCTCTTTTCTCCTTTATTTCATATCTCCATCTCACTTCCCCCACAAAAGTTTATCCCAATATAATAGACTTTAATGTTTGAAAATACTCTAAATTGTTCATCCTATAGTTCCCTGCAATAAAAAATTTTTAAATTTTCAAAAACATCAGTTCTAAACATTTTGCTTGGTATTGTGTTATTAAACTACAAGAACACTACTGATGAACAGCAAACACACAACAAATCACTATAAAATATCAAAAGTAGGCTTTTATTGGAAATACATGTCATAAAGAAATGGAAAGGAATTCCTGCCCCCCTCAATTAGGTTATGTCCCCAGGCATAAATATTACTTGTTGCTAGAAAGAAACAGGGTTCAGGTTAATTCTATTTTTATACTTTGTGTTCTTCCATTCCAAATATTTGAAAGTAGAAAGATTTCTAGTTATAGCAAGAATCATTTGTTTGGACTCCTAAGCTATATACCAAAAATCACATAGGGGTGTGCCCATTAAAATTATTTTTAACGATCAGCTGATAACTCAGTTTGGTCTTTCTCCAATATTTTCAAAAGCAACCAAAAATTACCAATTTTGCAAAGGAATTAACTATCCAGTCATCAGAGGCACCTGCTTTCTAAACATCACTATGAATATTTAGGTCAGATTAAAGGTGCCGCTTAATATTTGTAGAGTAAGAGACAACTGCTAAAGAAGAAAGGAGAAAGGTGGCTTGTTCAGGATATGCTGAGACCTATCAATTTTAGAGATGAAAACATGCAAGTTGATAATCTGAGAATTACTACCTTAACTACATAAACTACACCAAACTACATAAACTACTCTTAAACTACATAAGCCACTGGAAAGCCTTTATGTACCTCCCAAGGTTAAGAGGAAGGGATATATGTTGCCCACTATGGAGGCAGCTGCTGTAAGATACATGCAGGTTTGGATACCTAGCATAATAGAAGGTATGAACTTTAAGGAATTTGTAACCCTCTCTCTTTTTTTCTTCCTCTTTCTCTGTGTGTGTGTGGGGGGGGGAGCAGGACAGAGGCAGGGAGGGATGGAGGGAGGGAGGGAGGAAGGGAGGCAAAAGAGGTAGGTATGGGGAAAAAGAGGGAAGAAAACTATGTATGCCTAAATAGCAGTTTTCAGGTTTGGTAGTATTCTGGAAATTGTTTTTATCCTTGCCAATAAAACCAACCCCTTGCCCTAAAACACTTAACCTGAGCATACAGTATGTGAGGAAGAGAGAGAAAAAAATGTTTTCAAAACAACACTGATGGAATAACATCAAAGTTGATATCAATATGAAAAGGCAGACATTGCTATTTCAACCTAATGGTTTTGACATTTTAAGCCTTTTCCTCTGACAACGAGAGTCACATCTCTCAGGGGTCTACCAGAGCACAGAACTCAGAGTACAGAACAACGAAACAGAAAGCATGACCCCCAGGGTGGTATGACTTTAATCAAATTGAATATACAATTTAATAGCCAGAAATTCATTTTAACATTTTTCCTCAAAAGTTGTATTCTTAGTTTCTTCTTACTGTAAATATTCTTCACAGCTGTGAAATAGACACCGTACTTTTTAAAAAAAGTTTTTTCACTGTTTTTACATGCTGCGTAATTATACAATAACAAAATGTAAGTAGCACTAAAAATGTACAATTGTCCCCCACCCTTCCCAAAAAAAGGCTAAGTCTCAGTCAGAAGTTGAAGCAGGGCCCACATTCTTTGTTCACATATTGCTTTGAAATCCAACCTACCCCAATGATACAGGGAACTGAGCCTCAAGCCAATAGCACATCCCTCAGGAGCCTTCCCTGATGGAGAACATCTAGACCTTAGGGGGAAGGGGAGGACAGTACAGGAGAAGCTTTTGTAATATCCCTTTTTATTTTTTATTCACAACAACCTGTAAACAAGACACTTTAAAAAGTGCCTGGTGTCAAGAGTGTTCAATTCAGTCCAAAATGGCCGTTCTGAAACAAGTACATTTTTTTTAAAGCAAGTGAATTGTTTGGAAAATTTCAGACTGCATTTGTAGCTACAAAAAAATTTAATGGTTTAAAAGAAAAGAAACTGTTCCAAACTTTGCCTTGGAGACAACTTTTTGGATGATGTAATTCACAACTCCTTGGGAAAACAGGAGCATTCCTGAAAGAATCTTCCAGTAAAGTCAGTGAAATTAAGATGCTCTGGAAAACCAAACGCGCATCTCACCAGTTGTCTGTCAGTTAAGACTAAGAAGCTATCAGCTAAGACCCCAAAGTTCTTTTTGGTTATGTAATTTAACAATATTTGTCTAACTGTTCTCTTTTCCTATAAAATGTCCCTATCAAGACCATATCTTTTAATTGACATCAATGTTTTACCTTGTTGTAACATTGTAACAGAATTGTAACACATGATTATAACTAAACTGTGTGACGTTTTCTCAAACGATTTGTCTGATTTTACGAAATTTGAAGTAGATATATATAAGTGGGTGGAAAGTGATCATTTCCAGCTAAACCTAACGAATGTCTGGATCATATTTTGTCATAATCTAGCATGAGTTCCACATCCTGAAAATTACAATGCCTTATCTGACTAAAATAATAGAACTTACACATCCTGGTCAAGCAAATATTTTTGTTGTTAAACCTATTTTTAAAATAGTTATAATCAAGAGTATATTTTAAAATAAAAATCTACTCTCTCACCAGATAAACCTCAAAATACAGAGCTGTGACATTTTTTCTTTATCCTGAAAGGAAAAGTAAAAATGAATTCCCCTGCCTTTTCAATACTTCTCAAACTATCCCAAATAGTGAATGAAGGTTCAAAACCAGAAAACATGATTATACCTTCAAAAGGAACAACTAGGCTGCCAACTCTGATGACGTGGGATGCCACCACAGATTTTGTTAACATTCTTCAAAACACTACTGGTTCAAAACACACCGTCTGAGGGCTGGATTTCAAAGCGAAAATTCGCAAAGTGCGTCACAGAGGCCACCAAAAAAGTTAGGGACTGATACTTGCTCAAAATATGAAAACATCCGCTCTCTTACATCCTCCTGCCCAACAAACGGAAGCGAATGGATTTCCCTTCACCTACACCGCATCGAGATTTCTATCACAGAAACAAAGAGAAGAGCACCACATGTTCCCACTCACATGCCTACCCTCAACACTTACCACCACACTGCAAGAAAGGGATTGGCAGTAGTGGGACACTGCCAGGGTGGGGGCGGGGGGAACACGACATCGATAAGGGCACCTGCTCTCAAACCGGGCCAAGTGTGAACCAGGAGGCCCAAACTTTACCTGAACGATGTCCGCTTGTACGCCTAATCCCGAATTGTACCCCACATCTTTAAGATAAAATTTTTAAAATCATCCACTTAAAGAAAGCGGGATACTGCTGGAAAAACCCAAATTTTTTAAAAGACTTCTCACTATTGGGTAATACATCATGTCCCTTTCAGTTGCGGTCTTTGTTCCTAACCGATCTGAACTGTCACTTTAAAATATACCTAACCCTTAACTGTACCCCACAACTTCATAATAAAAAAAATAAAATAAATAAAATAAAATGTAAACTAAACAACAAAAAGGCGAAGCTGAAAGAGCCGCAGGTCTTTTCGAGCAAAGCCCCGGGGGCTGAATCTCGTCCCGTAGGGACGACACTCGGGCCACTTAAGCCCAGGCCGACAAAACACGCCTCGGGGCGCGGCGAGGGGCCAGCGCGGCTCCCGGGCGTGGGTGAGGTCACGCTCCCTCTGACGACCGATCTGCCGTGGATTCGCGGGAGGGCGGCAGCGGCCACAGCCTAGGGCCGCGGGGGCCCCCGGGGCTGCGACCCCCAAAGATCGTCCCCAGTCCGCTCGCGACCGCACGGGTGCGCTCAGGACGGCCGCCTTCGCCCCCCTCTCCGTGTCCCCCATTCCACACGCCGGGCCGCGGGAGGGCCGCCCCCCGCGTTTTCGGTCGTAACTCTGAGCCGGGCGCCGCG